GGGTATGCTGTTTCATAGCCTTTTTGGGTACAGCTCTTTATAAGCTAACTTAGTGCAACCATGAGACTGATATGATGCAGATTTTCAGGGCAACATTGCAGGTTTTGGAGCAGGCTGTGACAGCATAGCAAGGCTGTTTTTGTGGATTTAGTCAAGGGAAAAGTTCAAACAAGACAAGGCTTTAGGATTTGTAACTTAACAAATTCTAACTTAAAAATGCAGTTTTGTAATAACTTGAATTATTTGTAACATCTTGAATTATTTTGAATTGTAGTGAAGAAAGATGTCATGAGGTAATGAAATTAATCATGTATGGAAAATACTTAGAAAAAATTTCCAAGTCTTGCCAAGTTTGATTTTTGATGATCAAATTTTATATTTTGGATGTCTTGATGAAATGTGATTTTTGGGACTCAATTTTGGTCAAAAAGTCAAAGTTTGACTTTTTAGTGTACAATTGACTTTTTCCACCAGTTGAATTTCGTCTATCAATCCACTGATCTCGGGAGATGAATTGAAATATGCGACTAGGTCAAAATTATGCACTTAAATTCTTGAGATCATATTTGAAACCAATAAGTCATGTACTAGGTCAAAAATCAAAGTTTTGTCACTCTCAGTCAAAACCATAATTTAGAGTCTCGGCGCTTCAGAGATGATTTTGTCTGATCAATTTCTTGAGAATCCTTGAGAAGTTGAGATCATTTGTGAGAAATATTTTGAAAAAGGAGATGACAAATTTTGAGGTATAACACATAAAAATGTTTTACTCTAATCTCACTTTTTCAAAAATATTTATGGTAACCTTAAAATAAACACACTTTTCAAAATGCATGTCGAATATTGAATAATTATTTTTCTTAAAAATAATGTTTGTTTCTTAACTTTTAAATGAATTAATAATAATTCAATAAAATAATTAATAATAAAATTAATATCAACTTATTAGATATTATTAATAATATAATAATTGTATAACATAATATTAATTAAATTGACTTCAATAGGCTCTAACAGGTAATTCACAAATGTATTTCTATTGAACAATCAGGATTTGTAGCAAGTCAATCTATTCTAGATAATGTAATATTACTCATCATATTAAATTTATGACTAGAAGAAATAAGGGAGAAGCAACATTAAAGATAAATGTTAAAAAGGTGTACGATCGAGTAAATTAGAATTATCTTTTTTTCTCTTTCGAATCGTATGGGTTTTAGCAACAAATGTGTTAATTGGATAAGAATGTGTGTTACAACTATTAGCTACACTATCATTATGAATGAAGGCTATGTAGGCCCTATTATTTCAAGAAGGGGGCTCAGACAAGGATATCCTTTCTCTCCTTATTTGTTCATTTTATGTCCAGAAGGCCTCACATCTCTCTTAATACAAGCTAAAAGTCGAGGTCACTTGCAATGTGTACAGGTTTATCGATGTTCACCTATCATTAATCATTTTTTATTTTCTCATCATATTTTTCTCTTTTTCCGTGCAGATGATAAGGAAAAAAAGGTGATGCGTTATATTTTAGATGATTATGCTAACGCTTCAAGGGCAAAGTATAAACATGTAGAAATCAAAGATTTATTTTAGCAGGAATGTATCAAAAGCAGATAAAACCAGTAAGCTCTCAAATAACCTTGGTATTCGATCTTGTATTGGCACGAGAAATTATGTGTCTTCCTTCCATGATTGGTAGAAGCAAGAAGGCCATATTTAATTACATCAGGGATATGGTTTGGAAGTGTATCAACAGCTGAAGTAGTAAAATATTCTCACAAGCACCTATAGAAGTTCTTCTTAAATATGTGGTTCATGTTATTCCAACCTATTGCATGAGTGTGTATCTTTTACCTATATATATTGAAGATATTTAGAAGATGATGAACTCTTTTTTGTGGGGCTCTAATAGAGGTGGCAAAAGAGGTATTAATTGGTTTAGTTAGGAAAAATTGAATGTGCATAAAGAATGAGGAGGGATGGGTTTTCACGATCTCCATAGGTTTAATCTAGCAATAATATTGAGAAAGCTATGTTGGAAACTCTTATCCAACACAGATTCTATGGTTTCTCGAGTCTTCAAAGCAAAATATTTTCCTTAAGGTAACTTCTTGGATTCAACTATAGGTCATAATCCAAGTTATATTTTGCGTAGTATCAAGACTTCCTGAATAGTATTGTAGGAAGGACATCATCAAAAGATTGGTGATGACTCTTCTACTCACATTTTGTCAGATGTTCGACTTCATGATGCTGGTAGTTATCGAGTTCACACACCCCTCCTACTTATTCACATTACATAACAGTAAAAAAACGTATAGATCCCATTATATGTAACTAGAATGAACTATTTATTAGATCTCTTTTTTTCATAGAGATATGAATGAAATTTTAAAGATCCCTCTTTTGAGATTAATAAGGCAGATGAAATCATATGGAGGTTTCATAGTAAATGTAAGTATATTATCAGAAGTGGCTATAGAGTGTGTGTAGAGTATTTGGTCAATAAAGATGATTTAAAGGCCCCAAATTACTGGAAACAGTCGTGAAATCTATTTATCCCACTAAAAATCAAAACTTTTTCGTGGAAACTAAGAAGTAACTGTAGAGTCTTGTTTTATAGGTAATATACCTTTAATCAAGACATCCGTTTTTGATGATGACAACTAAAGGACAACTAATGATGAGTCAAGCACATCGCTTAAACGGTTAAATATGTAAACCTAAATGTTATGGTTTGATGAACTTGATTATCTGAGGAAGGCAAAAAAAGTGGATCAAATCTAATTGTTATGGTTTGATGAACTTGACTATCCGAACTTGACTATATGAAGAAGGTAAACAAAGTGGAAAGTATCTAAAGCCTCGAGTGATCTTAAGCATTGTCAACACAAAGATAATATCTAACAAGAGGCTTGTAGCAAAGGAGTTAAACTCCTAATTTCGTAAGTGAGTGAACTTATGTAAGCAAAGGGGAATTTCCGTAAAAGTATGTGACTATAAGCACACACACACACACACACACACACTAAAACCATTTTAAATATTTTTAATCAAGAGAAAACATCTTTAAAATTGTCTTGGAGTTATTCCAGACGACTTAGGAGTTGTGGAAATAACTAGAAGAAAAAACTTGACTTATCTAATTGATTGGGTATTTGGTATAATCGATTAGATTAGTTCAAACTTGCTCTCTAAGCCATTAGACACCACCTTAATGATGTGCAATAACTAGATATATTTTCTTTTCTTTTAAAGAACTTACAATCGATTATTTTTCAAATTCTAATTGATTAAAATAAATGATAATCAATTAGATAACGGAAAAATTCATGATTGCAAATTCTATTTTGGGCACACCTCCTGCCTATAAATAGAGGCTCCTTTTCTAATTTCAAATCATCCAGAATCATGTTTTGACACTACCAACTCTCTCTCTCTCTCTCTCTCTCTCTCTCTCTCTCTCTCCCTCTCTAAGTTCTATTTTAACTTTCTCTCATTAGATGTTATAGCCAAATGCTTTTCTGAGAAAAATTCCTTTGTGAGTGAGGTTATTTATGTAATTCTAGAAAGGATAGAGTTGTAAAATTCTCCAAGGGAATCATTTGTATACACCTTAACTGAATACTGTGTAATTAGGATTATTTGTGGTTCGAAGCTAAACCCGATAAAATCTTAGGCTAAGGATTGTATGATCAGTCCTAGGTTAATGAATAGCCTTTGTTAAAATCTTCATTGGTTCATGGTTAGCCTGGTTAACAAAGATATGTTAAAGATTATCACGATATTAAAATCTTCATAGGTTAGAGATTATCCCGGTCAAAATCTCAGAGGTTGTTTGATTGTCCTGTTAAAATCAGAAGAATTGAGCTCATATATATTTGGTACTTGAAGACTAACCGCTCTAAGGTCAATGTTCGTGGAAAGGAGACAAACTGCTTCAACCCACCGTTGGGAAGGAAGATTATCCTTTTCACACTTAACATTAAACTAAATAAAAGATGCAAACGCCCATATCTATCATCTTGTAATATTTGGTTGAAGGTCAACCATCATTTCCATGTATAAGGGGGTTCTTGAGTCTTTCCTACTAAAATCTCTCAAGTATTATTAGAAACTCTCAAGACCAATTATTAGGGAGATGAGTAGGTCCTTTTGATTTGACTGAACCTCTATAATTCTTTGTTTTCTTCTTCTTCCCTTAACTATTTACTTTATGCTATTTAATTTTCTGCTGTTTATTTTTTCAAAATGTTTTAACCTTGATTTAATTTGGCAAAAGTTTTCAAAACCAATTCAAATCACACAATTCACCCCGTCTTATGTGTGAAGTCTCAAATCCAACAAAAACTGCCTTCCACATCGGGAGAATCTCCACACAAAAAAGGCGCAAATTGTCTTCCATCTTCTGTTTCTTGTGGTCGAGATATTGAGAATTCCTCACACATTTCTTTGTTTCCCCTATTAGTGTTTGATGTTGAAAGAAAGTTTCTCAGTGATTTCCCTTATATAACTTGTTTCTCTTAACCGAAGACTTTTATGATATTTTTTTGGGTAGGTTTTAAGTCATTTTAATGATGATCATACATACATGTTTTTTATGATAAAATTGAGTATTTGGCAAAAGATAAACCTAAAGCTTTTGGATGACAAATACGATTCTGTTGAAAAGGATGGTGATTCGAGAAACATATATGCTTAGCTCATGGAAACACGCTCAAAAGAATCAAGTGACTCAAATTAGGCTAAATCTTCATCAAGAATTTATTGGGAACTATTAGAGATAGGAGGGTATTATTGTAATAGTTAGTAGGAATTAGACTCATGTGTCTAATTCCCTTTCTATCCCTAGGCCCTTCTATATAAGGGTTTGCTGTAACTGTGAAAACATACATAACAGATTCAGTTACTCTTCTCTCTTCTCTCTTCTCTCTCTTTCTTCTCCACTCTTCTATTCTATCATGGTATCCAGAGCTTCTCTCTGATCCGTGGCTCCTATGGCTATGGCTTCACCAGACTCTTCAAACGCTACCGGTGGTAGCTCCTTCGCTGCAACAACTACCTTCAAGCAGAAGATCTCTGTCAAACTCGACGACACCAACTATCGTCAATGGAAGCAACAGGTCGAAGGCGTTCTTCGTGGCACCAAAATGGTTCGCTTCGTCGTTTCTCCTCAAGTACCGGAACGCTACCTCACTGTTGCTGATCGCGACGTCGGAACTGAGAATCCGAACTATGTCGCGTGGGAGGAGCAAGACGCTCTTCTCTGTACGTGGCTCTTGTCCACGATCTCTGATTCTCTTCTCTCTCGCTTTGTTCTTCTGCGCCATTCGTGGCAAGTGTGGGACGAAATTCATGCGTTCTGCAATACGCAGATGAAAACAAGGTCGCGTCAACTCAGATCAGAGCTCCGTTCTCTCTCAAAAGGTACTCGCACCGTTTCGGAATTTCTTGCACGTGTTCGCACTATTGTTGACACGTTGATGTCCATCGGCGATCCGGTTCTTCACCGCGATCAAATCGAATTGATTCTTGAGGCACTGCCGTCGGAATTTGATCCAGTTGTCGCTGCTGTCAATACGAAGTCTGATTTCATCTCGATTGATGAGCTTGAGTCGCTTCTTCTTGATCAAGAAGCGCGAATTGATAGAGCCAAGAAGAACGTCGTGGAAACTGTTTCAGTGAATCTCACGCAAGGGAATGAAGAGAAGTCCAGTTTCAGTCCTCAATCTGCTGAGATTCCTGATTCCAATGGTGGTGTTTCTTCTGGCTATGGAAGAGGTAGCAATTTTCGTGGCCGAAACAATAGAGGTGGAAGGTTCAGAGGTCGCGGTGGTCGCAGTGGCTTTAGAAACTCTGTTCAGTGCCAAATATGCTCTAAAGTAGGTCATGATGCTAGCTACTGCTATTTTCGTCACTCTCAGGATGCTTATGGCTCATATCCTCCTTATGGCAACTATGGCAATTATGTCTTTGCTCAGCCCAATGTGTGGACTCAGCCTGGTTTTCGAGCCTCAGCACCTCACACCATGAACTCTGCTAGACCTGCTGCTGCGTCCATGCCTGCTCAATATCCTACTCCTAGGCCTCAAGCATTGATTGCTGGAACTGATTGTTCCTCCTTCTACAATCAGGCCTGGTACCCTGACTCAGGTGCCTCTCACCATGTGACACCAGATGCCACAAATCTTGCTGATTCTGTGTCTCTATCTGGATCTGACCAGGTTCACATAGGCAATGGCCAAGGTCTGTCTATCACCTCTGTTGGCTCTATGCAATTTCCTTCTAATTTGTGTCCTAAGTCTTCTCTCAAACTTAATAATCTGCTGCTTGTGCCATCTATCACTAAAAATCTCTTAAGTGTGAGTCAGTTTGCCAAAGACAATGCTGTCTTCTTTGAATTTCATGCTGATGCTTGTTTTGTGAAATGTCAGGATACTTCTAGAGTGCTCTTAAAGGGTTCACTTGGAAGTGATGGTCTCTACAAGTTTGATTCAGTCTCTCAGCCTACTTCTCCTCAAGTTCTTAGTGCTGTCAGCAGTCATCTGCAGTCTAAGTCTAGGATCTCAAATTCATTTTCTAAATCTGTATTCAGCTCTACATGTAATAATAGGGACTTAGGCTCTATTTCTAATGTGTATCAAATGTGGCATAATAAACTTGGCCATCCTCATCATGAGGTTTTGAAACAGATTCTTCAACTTTGTAATATTCCTGTACCACATAAACAATTCAGTAATTTTTGCAATGCTTGTTGTCTGGGCAAAGTGCATAGACTGCCTTCTTCATTATCTGAAACTGTCTATAGCAAGCCTCTTGAACTTATTTTCTGTGATCTGTGGGGGCCTGCACCACTTACATCTGTTTCTGGCTTTACATACTTCCTTACTTGTGTAGATGCTTTTAGCAGGTACACCTGGATTTACCCCCTTAAGCTAAAATCTGATACCTTAGCCACCTTTGTGCAGTTTAAAGCACTTGTCGAACTACAGCTGAATATGAAAATTAAATCTGTGCAAACTGATGGAGGAGGAGAGTTTAAACCCTTGACACATTTTTTGAATATGCATGGCATCATACACCGGGTTACCTGCCCTCACACCCATCACCAAAATGGGTCTGTTGAGAGGAAACATCGTCATGTTGTTGAAACTGGTCTCACTCTCTTAGCTCAAGCAAATCTTCCCTTAAAGTTTTGGGATCATGCTTTCCTCACTGCAACTTATCTCGTCAATAGGCTGCCCTCACCCAACTTGCACAATAAATCTCCTTATTTCTTGCTATACTTCAAATATCCTGACTACAAATTCTTAAAAACCTTTGGCTGCTCCTGTTTTCCTCACCTCAGACCTTACAATTCACATAAACTTGCTATGCACTCCAAAGAGTGTCTCTTTCTTGGCTATTCACCTAGTCACAAAGGCTACAAATGTTTGGATGCTTCTGGCAGAATTTACATCTCCAAGGATGTTAAATTCAATGAGTGTAGGTTCCCTTATTCAGTCATGTTTTCCTCTTCATCCTCCCCTACTAGTCCTACACCTTGTTCTGCAAACTCTCAAGGTTATTTTACTCCTTTACCTGTGCCTCTCACTGCTGTACCTCCATCACAATCTCAGAGTCATGCTGGCCTCATTACTCCTGTCATATCTCATAATAGTTCTGTATCAGACTCCAACACTGCCTCTTCTGAAGCTCATGAGTTAGCTTCTCTAGCCTCTGCCTCAACCATTGCTCCAGTCTCAGACACCACTGCATCAGTCACAGAATTGCCTGCAACTGCAGCTGTTAGCCATGAACAGGCTCTCTCTTCACCTGCTGTTCCTGCCTCCGGTTTCTCTACTCCTGCCGCTTCTGATTCCTCCACTGCAGTAGCTCCTGGTCCTCCTGCAAATCCTCTTAACATTCACCCTATGCTCACAAGGTCCAAACATGGCATAGTGCAGCCAAAGCGGCATCCTACACTTCTTCTTACTCACTTTGAGCCCTCTTCCTACAAGCAAGCTCTCACTGTTCCGGAATGGCAAGAAGCAATGCAAGTTGAGTACAATGCCTTACTTCAGAATCACACTTGGTCTCTTGTCCCTGCTCCTGCCAACAGAAAACCTATTGGCTGCAAGTGGGTTTTCAGGGTTAAGGAGAATCCTGATGGGACTATTAACAAGTACAAGGCCAGATTGGTGGCAAAAGGCTTTCATCAAGTTGAAGGGTTTGACTACACTGAGACTTTCTCACCTGTAGTCAAACCTGTTACGGTTAGAACTGTTCTAACTCTGGCCATCTCCAGAAAATGGACCATTCAACAGATTGATGTTAATAATGCCTTTCTTAATGGGGTGCTAAATGAGGAAGTCTATATGGTGCAGCCACCAGGCTTTGAAAAAGGTGAATCTGGACTTGTATACAAGCTCCATAAAGCCTTGTATGGCCTTAAACAAGCACCTCGTGCTTGGTTTGATAAGCTCAAAGGCGCTCTCCTTCAGTTAGGCTTCACTGCCAGCAGGTGTGACCCTTCTTTGTTCATGCTTCTCACACCATCCTGCTACACTTTGGTGCTTGTCTATGTAGATGATATAATTATCACTGGCGTATCTTCAGCTTTCATTAAGCAGCTTGTTAACAAACTGAATATGGCTTTCTCTCTCAAAGATCTTGGGCAGCTGGACTATTTTCTGGGTATAGAAGTTACTCACCTTTCTAATGGCTCTTTACTTCTTTCTCAAGGCAAATATATAAGAGACCTTCTGCACAGAACCAATATGGCTGCTGCAAAAGGCATAGCATCCCCTATGGCTTCTAGCACCAAGTTATCCAAAGTTGGCTCTGCACAGGTGACTGATCCCACATACTTCAGATCTGTGGTAGGCGCGTTACAGTATGCTACAGTGACTCGGCCAGAAATATCTTTTGCTGTCAATAAAGTGTGCCAATTTCTGTCTAATCCCTTAGAAGACCACTGGAAAGCTGTTAAAAGGATCTTGAGATATCTTCAAGGGACTGCCTCTCATGGCTTATTTCTTTCCCCTGCCAATCAGTCTGCACCTCTCACTATTACAGGATTTTGTGATGCTGACTGGGCCTCTGATGTTGATGACAGGAGGTCCACCTCTGGTGCTTGCATATTCTTAGGTCCTAACTTGGTGACCTGGTGGGCAAAGAAGCAAACATTGGTGGCAAGATCTAGTGCTGAAGCAGAATATAGAAGCTTAGCTCTTGCCACAGCAGAAATTTTATGGCTGCAGTCTCTCTTACAAGAGTTACAGGTGCAGTACCAAACTCCAAAGGTGCTATGTGATAATCTTAGTGCAGTTTCCTTGGCTCACAATCCTGTGCTGCATTCTAGGACCAAACACATGGAATTAGACATCTTTTTTGTCAGGGAGAAAGTGCTGAGCAAAGCCCTTGTTGTGACTCACATTCCTGCAGCAAGCCAATGGGCAGATGTGCTCACCAAACCTCTCTCCACAGCCAGATTTCAGTTTCTCAAGAGCAAACTACGTGTTGCTGACAAGTTTAAACTTGATCAACCACCCTAAGTTTGAAGGGGGAGTATTAGAGATAGGAGGGTATTATTGTAATAGTTAGTAGGAATTAGACTCATGTGTCTAATTCCCTTTCTATCCCTAGGCCCTTCTATATAAGGGTTTGCTGTAACTGTGAAAACATACATAACAGATTCAGTTACTCTTCTCTCTTCTCTCTTCTCTCTCTTTCTTCTCCACTCTTCTATTCTATCAGGAACCTCCCCCATCTGGTTTTTTCAAATGCAATGTAGATGATGCATTTCAACAAGAAACTTGCTCGAGTATTGGAATGTGTGTTTGAGATGATAATGGGCATTTTGTTATGGTTGTAACAAATTGGTGTCCCATGAAACTTCAAGTAGTAGAGTGTGAACCTTGAGGTTTATATAATGCACTACATTGTATTGTGGCAACAGGTCTTACAAATGTTATTTTTGAGTTAGATTGTAAAAAAGTGGTACATGATATTCACCATGCAACTTATTAGGTTAAAATATGACTCTGTAATCGATGATTGTAGAGATATTTTAAAGAGGCACATCAACTTTAAGGTTGTTTTTACTATACGACAAGCTAATAGTAATGCTTATGATTTAGCAAGGATGTCTATCTCTTATGCTCCTCGTAGTGATTTTCATTATCCTCAATGAATGTATTATAAATTTATTATTTGATAATAATATGAGACAATTTGGGTTGAGTCAAAAAATATTAATTAAAAAGCACTCAATAAATATAAGCAATAATTTGGCCACATTATGTTGAATATACCATGATGAAATAGAAAGTTAACAATCAATTAGAAACAAATAAACATTAAACACAATAGCAATAGTAAACGGTCATGTTTGTGTTAATGATACTCAAAAAAAGTGGAAAAAAAGAGAAAGAAAAATATTACATCAACTAAACTTGAAAAAGTCTTGAGAGAATTTCTAAAAATTTCATAAATTAAACTGAGATTATTGAAATAGTGTCATAGGTGTATTTTCAACTAAAATGTCTCATTAAATCCACTCCACAAAATAATCTATCAAAATCTATATATTTTTAATATCAAAATATTTTTTTACAAATTAAAAAAAATCAATTGAATATCAATAAATTTCAATATCTCAAAAAATTAGTACTCACTATCGTAATTAGACACCTCAAAGTTTATTTATATTTATAATTTTTTTTGATTAAATACCACAAAACAATCATTGTAAAAAATCCTTTAAAATATTATTTTCCAAAAATTGAATACGCGTATTTTGAATTTTCTTGTTTTATATAATCTTTGTTTTTGACATAATAAATAGAAAAAATAGAATGATACGTAATCTTTCAATTTTACCCAATGTTGTTTCTTGAACCTAATCACGTTCACCAAAAACAACAACACTCTTGAATGAATCCATCACACAACACAAGTCGCTGACATGTTCTTGTCTTCGCACAATTCCTTTTCATGTTTTCTCCTTCATTCTCTCTGAAAAATTCTCTAATTAGGTGACCCTTCAACTTCTGCTGAATCAGATTCACCATATGAAACAAGTTTGTACGTATATCTTTTTCTATATTGTTGCAATGTCTCATTCTTTTGTGTTTTCCAATCACTTTATTCAAACTATGTATCAAAATTTTCATGACTTTGCTCTGTTTTTGTTTCCTCTGTTTTGCTTCAAAAGGAATTAACTTGTTTAGTGTTTCATTTATAAATTGAGTTTTGTAGATTACCCGTTTGTGTTTATGCGTCTACGAGGTTTTTTTTCATATAAAGATTGAATTTTTATGCAAACTCTTCATTAGGTAATGGAATTTAGTTTTTCATTGAAAATTTTAGTTAGTTATATGGTGAAATATTGAATGCTCGTTAGTGTTTAATTTGATTTATTTGTAATTTTGTTTATTTTTCAGATTGAGTAGTTCTGAAGAAATGGGTTATGGTTGTGAGTTTTTCGATGATAATCGTGGAGTTGAGTCGGTTGAGGGTAATGGAGAAGATTATGATGATGAATTTTTTGAGGCACTTTCGGATACTCTTTCGAATGAAAGTGATGAAATTGAGACTAGTTGTAAGAATCTAGAAGGTGAAAAAGATAGAGAATTTAGTTTGAGGAATGTTGTTGATGATGATCATGGTGAGGATTTTGACCTAGAAGAAGAGGACAAATCGAAGTTGGTTTTCAAATTTCAATATCAAAATTGGGGGTGTGACTTTAGTGAGGAATTGAAGGGAGGTTTTAGTGAAAGTAGTGATTTTGATAAAAGGGGTGAGGTTTCTTCGAGTACAAACAAATATGAGTTTGTTTTAGGAAAGAGTTTTAGCCGAGTTTTGGATGAACCTAAGGCTGTGAATTTTACTGTCAAAGAGTTTTTTATTCGTTCAAATGATGAGTTTCCGTTGGAAAAAAATCGTGTTGCCGATGATTCAGCTGGTTTCTTATCCGAGAAGAAATTGAATGAAGAAAACTGTGAAGAGGTTGTTGATGAGAAAATTCTTGATAGTTTCTCCGAAAGATTGCACGTAGAGGAAGTGTCAGAGAAGCTTGAGTCAGCTGGTTTATCATCCGAGAGGAAATTGAATGAAGAAAATTGTGAAGAGGTTGTTAATGGGAAAGTTCTTGGTAATTTCTCCGAAAGATTGCACGTAGAGGAAGTGTCAGAGAAGCTCGATCCAGCTGGTTTATCATCCGAGAGGAAATTGAACGAGGAAAGTTGTGAAGAGGTTGTTAAAGGGAAAATTCATGATAGTTTCTCCGAAAAATTGCATGTAGAGAAAGTGTTGGAGAAGCTCACGCCAGCTAGTTTATCATCTGATAGGAAACTGAATGAAGAAAACTGTGAAGAAGTTGTGAATGAGAAAATTATTGACAGTTTCTCCGAAAAATTGCACGTAGAGAAAGTGTCAGAGAAGCTCGAGCCAGCTGGTTTCTTATCTGAGAGGAAATTGAATGAAGAAAATTATCAAGAGGTTGTTGACGAGAAAATTGTTGATAGTTTTTTCGAAAAATTGCACGTAGAGGAAGTGTCGGAGAAGCTCAAGAATTTGGAACCATATGAGCGGAATTTTCTATTAGATGACGATTTTGTTTGTTCAAGTTCTGACACAGATTCTATGAGTTCTTTGGAATCTGGTTTTTTGTCCGACACGGATTTTGGAACAACTACCGAGCATGATACAGATTTTGGAACAACTACCGAGCATGATACATTAGGAAACAATGAAGAAAGTATAGAAGATTTGGATTTCAAGGATGACAAAAGCCTCGAAAGTTTGGATTTCGGTTACGAGCCTGATGATTTTGCTGAAGAAGACGAAGATATAATGAACGAGCTCGGAAAGTTGGAAGAAGAAGTCAAACAAGAACAATCGGCGAAACAAAATTCGAAGAGCGTAACAGCTTTTGATCTTGAGGAGTCGAACCGGTTTGACACGCTTTGGGAGCATCAAGATCTGATAGAACAGCTGAAGATGGAATTGAAGAAAGTTAAAGCTACTGGTTTACCTACAATCTTTGAGGATTCCGAGTCGCCGAGGATTATGGAAGATTTGAAGCCATGGAAAATTGATGAAAAGTTTCAGCATGGTAGTAGTACTACAAATGAGCTTCCGAAATTCTACAGAAGTTATAGAGAAAGAATGCGAAAATTCGATATCTTGAATTACCAGAAAATGTATGCTTTAGGTATGTTTTTCTTCTTCTTCTCATTACCTTAAAAGTTTGTTTACCTTTCTTTAGCAATTTTCTTTTTAGTTTTACTCAATATTTTGAAAACTGAAACGAAACGAGTCGGACGGTTCAACAAGTTGAATCATGAACATGAACACACACCGTCTATGTTTTGGTTATTTGAGCTGTTGGACTAATGTTTTGTTCTGGTTCGAACAATTTGAATAGTGACTTTCAGTTCAATTTTTAAAATATTGGTTTTAATCTCTGTAACACCGAGACCTCGGAAAAAATATGTGTTCATGTCAGTGTCGGACATCGATACTAACACTTTTGATTACGTTCAATTTATTATTTTTTTAAATAACTATTGATGTTAACGTGTCAGTGTCGTGTCGTATCCTATCCGATGTCCGTTTCTTTGTTCATGCTTCATAGTTCATAGGTTTTAATTGTTTAATTGATGAAAACAACTTCATTGAACACCCCTGGTCATGAAAACCTACCTTATCTAAATCATTAAAAAAGTAGGGAGAGGTAAAGGACGTTACTAAATCTGGTTAGTTGAGCATTGAGAAAGCATGAATTAACCAATTATGTGACACAAAAGTGAATTTTGACACACTTTCTTTTTACTCTTTTTTTATGGTTGGTTTCAATATATATATATATATATATATATATATATATATATATATATATATATATATATATATATATATATATATATCATTTTTCTTATATATATTTTGTTAATGCAAGAAAGAGTGGTAGGATAGGGGGTTGGACATTAAAGAATTGAGCAACTTTTTTAATGTCACATCACATGCTTGGCTATATACTTTGCACTGATTAATGCCAATCCTCCATTGCTTGTGGTAGCTTGCATTTTTCCTAAAGATAGCTATATATGAGTGTTAGGACTTATGACTCTTTTCTTGTTTGTTAACTCTATTAAGTAGTAACTCTTTTGGTTGCCTATTTATTGATTTTTAAGCCTTTTGCTTTTATATTAAAACCATTGATATTTTAAAACTCCAATATCTAATTATTCATAAAAAACATGTTCTTCTTAAAATCTCTCTTTTGAATCCCGCTAGATGCTAACAATTTTTATGTTGAATCAATCTATATATAATTTACTCTGATTTTAAATGGGTCTGGACAAGTGAGCAGTGAGATTGGTCTCTCAAAATTAGTCGGTTTTAAGATTGGATTCTGAGTTTTCAAGAAAATATGAAAATGTGTCTTATAATAGAACAATAAAAAAATGTCAAAAGTGTCTTATATTTGACAACGGCTATACCCTTAATCTGAGAGAAAACTCATAACTTTGTGATAAAGTAATGGTATTTAAGTCCAACGAAGTTTTATTATTTCAAACATGGATGCACTAACCTTCAATATGAACTAATAAACAAGTATTTAATTGCAAAAAGCTACCTCACTTTCTCATTGTGATGTAGCACCGATTATAATGCTCCACCCAAGTTTTTCTATGACCCTTTTTTTTTCTTTCTACCTATAAACAACCCTTGTTATGCAAGACAAGTTTGGAAAGCTATTTTCCTTTCTCCTAGAAAGTTATGTTAACCTTTTAATAATCACTATGAAGCACATTTATAGACATCAGTAACGACATTAACACCGATAATAATTTTAAAATATAAATAAATTGAACGTAATCATAAGTGTTGGTGTCGGTATTTGACATCAACACGAATACTGAAATGCCTTTTTTTTAAAAGTGTCAGTGTTACATAAAATAATCATGTGGCCGACGTATTTTTCTAACAACACACTCGTTTATTGGTTAAAGTTTCACATAAACCCTAGCGAATAAGGTGGATTCTATATAAATTTGGCGGGATTCATATGAATTTAACCGACGGGAATATATTGAAAATGTATTACAAATTTGTTATTATCATTATTTTAATATTCATTTATTTTTTCAAAACTTTTTTGTAAATTTTGTAGGTCTTATGAAGTTAAAGGACCCACTACAATCATTTTCAATTCACAAGAAATCTTCAACAATCACAAGCTTATTTAGACGTAACAAAGAAATTGATGCTGACCCAATGAAGAAGTTCATAAGAGAATTATACAGTGATTTGGAAATGGTTTATGTGGGACATTTATGTCTTTCTTGGGAATTCCTTCATTGGGAATATGAAAAGGCTTTGAAGATATGGGAAAATGATCAATATGGATTTAGAAGGTTCAATGAAGTAGCCGGAGAGTTTCAACAATTTCAAGTTCTTCTTCAAAGATTTATAGAGAATGAACCTTTTCAATGTCCAAGAGTTGAAAATTATGCTAGGAATCGTTGTTCCATGAAGAATCTTCTTCAAGTTCCTGTTATACGAGGTGAGAACTTTAAAAACTACGCGAATTTGATAGATTTGAATTCGTCATGGTCAACAATCCACACACTCACGTGGTCATTGGATCGAGATCAGGCAATATAATTTTTTAAAAACTAAAATACAAATTTATAACTTGGAACGTGTGTTCTCGATTCATTGACCTATCAATGTCTTTGATTGCATGAATGTGTGAATTACTAATTGCAATGACTCGAAATCTGAATTTGGTCAATGGTATTAGATAGCTTCTTTATTAAAAATTGAATCTAGTGACAACTTTTTATAGTTTGGCTCCATTTTCTTTGAGCTATGTAGGGGACCATATAGAGTTCTATGTCTATGTTAGACCAAATAGTTCATCATGACTTAAAAATTAATCAATTATTGTTTGCAGAAGACAAAGGGAAGGATAAAAAAATGTTTAGAAAAAGAGAAGTTGACAATGATGCCATCACAAGTGACATGCTAGTAGAAATTTTAGAAGAATCAATAAGAACAATTTGGCGTTTTATTAGAGGTGATAAAGATGCATCAAACTTGACAATTAAAAGTCTTAAAGAACACCATGTGGAGCTTCAAGACCCTGCTGATTCACAGCTTCTAGTGGAGATTCTAACCGATCTTCAAAAGGTAATTGATGTTTCAAATTAGAATTGTTTTGTAAGTTTAGATATGCTTCGAGCCGGCCAAAATAATCGAGGCTAAAAGTAGTTTATATATAAAACTCACACTTCTCAACCCAACGAGGGGCCTTTTTTAAAGGACAACTGCGAGGGTTTTCACATCTAAAGCGGACAATACCTCGTAGTCCCAGTGGTGTTAGAAAGAGGGGTCGAGCCCACATGCTTGCACCCGCCCCTTAGCCCAGCACAGGGGTTAACTGTTCTAGGTTGGCAAAAATAGTCTTACAATGATTGGGAATCAAGGCTAAATAATTTTTCTAAAGGAAAAAGTCGCGAGGGTTCTCATGCCCTAAGCAGACAATAACTCGTAGCCGCAGTGGCGTGGACTTGATGCCGACCAAAACAATATTTATTATAGTTTTTTTTCTGATGTTTAAAGTGTTTTTTTCTTTTCTTTTTGTATTTGCAGAAAGAAAAGAGACTAAGAGAGCTTTTAAGGAGTGGAAGTTGCATATTGAAGAAGTTCAAAAAGCATGATGAAGATGAAACAGATCCGGTTCTTTATTTTTTCTCTCAAGTAGATATGAAATTGGTTTGGAGAGTGTTGAACATGTCAAGGATAACCACGGATCAGCTAGGATGGTGTCGTAGTAAATTAAACAATATCAATTTTGTAAACAAAAGGATACACGTAGAATCATCATTCTTACTTTTTCCTAGCTAATATCATTAGATTAATTGCTAGCTTAGTACTCATAGTACATATGCACCTTTACTTTTAGATGATCATTATTGATTGAAATTGTAAAGAATTTTGGCATGTTTCTAACAAGTTGTTTGGCCTAACATGTACAATTTTCATGTGGAGCCAAGCAATTAATTTTAGATAAATAGTATATTTTTAGATTTACATGTTGTTTTTGTTTGGCTAGTTTAGTTTAAAAAAATTTAAGATTTTTTTTTAATATAAAAACGAAGTGATAATAATCACTAGAAACTCATACTTATAACTGTGAATAGTAGAGTAGAGTTTGAATTTTGATAATAACGTTCAATCTAGCATTATTGACTTGTGTTAGTTGAGTTGAGTTAAAATTTACGGACAAAACGTTAATACTTAACTAGTAAATATATATGTGCAAATAGATGTGACCAGTGTTATAAATTAAGTTTTGTTGTTTTGATATTAAAATAAGAATAATTATTTTGCTTAAAATTATATTTTTTGAAATAAATAATGTAATATTTGTGGTATTTTATAAAATCATTTTTAACAAAATGAAGAAGGACAACTATCAAAAGAATAAGGATCACTATATTATTGTTAACTATCAAAAGAATTCTCATATTTTTGCTTACTAGTGTGGATAAAGAAGGTAATATTTTTTAGTATGTTAATTTTTAAGAAATTTGTAGAGAGGTGGATGACTAATGAGGCAATAAATTTTTTTTTAGTTGGACAAGAAGAATCAAGCTCTTGTGTAGTAGCGTGTTACATGAATCTGATTCAGTTTATATTTATAATTAATAGAAGAATTTAATTGATCAAATTAGTTAGTGATTATTCATATGTAATGAAGCAATAACTTCTTTATATAATGTAATTGTCATTTTCATTGCGTCATAGTTTCTTTTCGAAGATATGGATTTAGTGAAAACTAAATTTGACACTACATCAATTTAATAAATAGTTTGTCTCCTTTCTGTTTGCAATTTAAAATATATTTTGAATAATACATTTATATTAATTCTATTTTAAGTATTATAACACTATACAAAAAACATTATTTGTCAGGGATTTAATCCCTCACAAATACAAAGAAATTGGAGGTCACAAATAAGTTTTTAAGGGGTTTTACACGTGAGAAATTTATTAGGGGTTTTACACCTCGTTAAATGCAACATGAATTTTATAGTCTGCAATATGCAGACGTAAGCGCGCAGGATAGGTGATAGTGCGTCAGAATTTTTGTTTGGGGTTTAGCCCCTGCCAAAATATAAATGCTTTTGCATTTGCAACACATTAAGTCTCTGACAAAATACAAACATTGACGTTTTCCCAAAAGTTTATCCTCTGACAAATTATAAAAATATAAATATATTTATCATATTATATCTATTAAAAAATACTTTTTTTCTTCTTAAAAGCTATATTTACTTATTATTTTCTAAATAAATATTATGATGTTTACTAACACACATAAAAATATATTAAAACATAAACTTATTTTTAATATTAAACATAAATTATATTATTCATAATAAATAACTTATTTTTAATACTAAAGATATTATACTAAAAGAGTATATAAATATATTTACCATATTATAACTTTAAAAATTAATTTCCTTCTCTCAAATTAATACTTTCTTAAAATAACAATACAATATATTAATAAACTTAATTTTTAAAAAGAATATTATTGCTTTATTAATCATTCTTATACTGTTTATTTTTATAAATAATAATGTTTTAACAATTCTTTATATATAGAAGGCTGGGGAGTAAAGAAGGCTATAACAACTTTACTGGGAATTTGAATCCTTGGGGACTTCATGCTGAGGAGACAAGAATGAGAATCTTCGATCTGCATGGGATTGAAAATTCTGACAAATTCATGTTGGGGAGTAAAGAAGGCTATAGCAACTTTACTGGGGAAATGAGAATGTGAATCTTCATTCTGCTAGGGGATGAAAAACTCTGTGGGGAGTAGCTATACTGCTGGGAAGTAGCTATCCTGCTGGAGAGTAAGTTCAAGACCCTGGGGGAAAAGCTTATTCCTGTTTGGAAAAAGTTCAGGAGTTTGGGTTGTATGCCAATCTACTGGGGGAATTATCCTAGGTTGGGGATAAAACAAAAGTTAACTGTTATCTGATTGATTCTCAAATTTTAAGACAACTTGCTGGGGAATTTGGGGAACACTGGATGGTTTCTGCTGGGGATTGATAATTTTACTTGACTGGGGAAGAAGATTTCATCTTTGCTGGGGGTCTGTAGTTCAAAGTTTTTGCTCCGCCGAGGATTGGGAGTTTGAAGTTTTAACTCTGATGGGGATTTTGAAATTTAACTCTGCTGGGGATATGTATTTCAAGGTGTTGTACCCCAAAATTTGCCCTCTCAATTCTCAAGGTTTTTCTTACAAGGATTTTCAAGGTTCAAGCTTGAACAGGTACTTTGTAATTTTCCAGTACCAAAATTAAAAGGAAAACTGTCAAAAAGGAAGAAAACAGATAAAAATATGATTTTTGACAAAATTTGGAGAAATACAAGTGTACTTCGTTTCAGCTCTTTCGATTGGCCTTTTGGCCTCTTTCGATACAATCTTGGCTTGCATCTTTCGATTGGCCTTTTGGCCTCTTTCGACACAAGCTTGGCTTGCATCTTTCGATTGGAATTTTGGCCTCTTTTGACACAAGCTTGGCTTGCATCCTTCGAATGGGCATGGGCCTCTGACACAGTTTGGTTTGGATTCACAAGGAAAAGAGCCTCTTGTAATCTATTTCATTTTCAAGGCAAAAGGCTCTCTTTTAACATCCTTCGATTTGCACCTTTTGCCCCCTATTTGTCTCTTTCGAATATGAACATTTTGTCTTTCGTTTGACCATATGTACCCCCTGGTGTGTAAGCTTTCGATTAGACATGAGCCACCTTCACACAAAGGCTTTGATTGGAGTTTTGGTTCCCTTCGAGTCACCATATCTCAAATCCAACACTGAACCCTTCGACGCAGTCTTCTTTAATACATTTCTAGAACTCTTCGACACAAGTGGGAAATAGGATCTTGAAAGGACAACTGATCAAATCTGTGGACCCTGCTACGTGATCTTACTTTACAAGACTTAATGCTTGTATCTCACTCCATAATTAATTGCTTATATTCTGGATTAAGCTATTGTCCAGGTGATTAAGCCTTTGTCCAGAAGTTTTTTGCGTGAAAGTAAACTTGTTAAGTACAAATCCTGTGCCAAAGCCCATGCTTTGCTAAAAGCATGCTTGTACTTCACCATAAGTCAGGGAAGTCAGCCCCTTTTTACCAACAACTTTAGTACTTCACCTTGGGACCTTGGAAAATCTGACATGGCTTAATATTCACGTTTCAGCCAAGCCACACCTTTGTTTTAACTCCCAAACCTTTTCTCTATAAATAGAGGAACCATTGACAAAGAAAGGGTCCAGATTTTTGCTAAGAGAGAAAAATCATAAAAAATCCTTAAGTGCTCAAACTCTCCAACGTTCTAAAAAAGAAAACTTTTCAAAACTCTAAGATTTTTTTTTATAAAAAGGTCTCAGCGTGACTGCCCAAACCAAGCAGTAACAGAACTAGCTTCAGGAAGATCCCAACGAAGCTCCCTCCACCATAAAAGAAGTCACCTACAGCTCTTTTGATTAAACACTTCAAGAGGTAAGTTTTCTCTAAACTTGAAACTCTTTCATTTCAACATCATATGCACATGCCAATAAAGAAAAATGTAGATATTTCTAGACCATGTTTTAGCATTAGATTCTGACTGCTCTTATGCTGAAAACTCAACCTTAATTAGTTATAATTTTGGGCTTTGAGACCCATTGGTTTTGTGCTAACCCCTGGACTGTAGTTATGTTTGGATGTTGCATTTTAAGAACTTGAGACAGGTTTGTTATACCCTTCGATTGGCTAGCTGCACAAGCCTTTCGAATCACCATTTGAGGACCTAACATACTTGCAAGGAGTCAGCAAGGAGCCTGTGGAAAAGCCAGGACCTTGTTGTTTCCAGACCTCAGACGAAATCTCTAACCTTTCTGTTTCCATGCCTCTAACAAAAGATGACTCCACTGACTCCAACCCCCAGTCGAAGGAGGCAGAAAGGCAGATTGCATCTTATACTGGTTCCAGGCCCAGTCGAAAGGCACAACATGCTGTCCCACTATTCCCAATCGAAAGGCACAACATGCTGTCCCACTGTTCCCAATCGAAAGGCACAACATGCTGACCGTGAGGCCTCAGTCGAAAGTCATGCCTTCACCCTTTTCAGGCCAAATTGAAGAGAGCCAGAAAGTGCAGAATCGAAGGGGTTTCTGCCTCAATCGAAAGTCATGCCTTCACCCTTTTCAGGCCAAATTGAAGAGAGCCAGAAAGTGCAGAATCGAAGGGGTTTCTGCCTCAATCGAAAGACCCTCATTTTTCTTGCTTTTATTTTATTTTTTCCTTTATATTTTCATGCACTTCAATATGGTTGTAATAGTGTAGAATTTATTTTTTGCACTTTTTATTACTTTTATATGCTTGCTAGTAAATAGGACATGTATGGCAAGATAAAATCAAAAAATAGACAATCTAAATGCAAAACAAAAGCATGAAAAGGACACACAATACACACTTGCACCCTTAGGGTTTCATCCAATTGTTGCCTTAAAAAAATGGGCCATGGTTGCATGTTGAGTACTTTGGCAAAACAAAAATAAACAAAAAGATCATAGTCCCTCGATGACGCTATCAGAGTTGCCTAAACAAAATGATCAAGTCCCTCAAGAAAATTGCCAAAGATACTTGACACTATTGCTATCATGGTCTATACGATGACCCGCGCCTGTTCCGTTAACATCCTAACGCAAGGTTGTTCATCAAACACAATGGTGAAACAACACTGTTAAAAGGGTTAAAAACATGAGAAAGATCTTTGAGTAAAATTAGGGTAGATAGCTCTTAGTTACTTGATCAAACTTGCAAAACATCCTTGCCATTT